GCTGAGCACTCGGACTGCTTCGGCATGCTGCAATGGGGTCTTGGCCTCGTTGGGGATGAGGGTTTTGGTTTTCCTGCACCACTTCATGTAGTGCCAGTCCCCGTTCTCTGCAAGCCATTTGGCCTTCGTCAGAGACTCCCGTCCCTCCTTCGTGGCTACCACATGCTGCAGTCGCTGCTGGAGTTCCTTGATGAGGTTCGCCAATAGCACAGTTCGAAGTGGTGAGACAAGTCGATCGTCTCCCTGATCCTTGCGAGCGTTCCACTCTTTGGCCGCCCGCATCATCGCCGGTACAACACTGTGTGTGTCCTCCTTCAGAAACATCACCAGGCCACGATCCAAGTTGAGGCAGTTGATGCGATCTTCGTGTTGAAGTAGTAGCTTGGTCACAGCTCGTAGTTGTTGGTCCTGAGGATTCGCGTACATCGGCCGATAGGTCGCGAAGGGCTGCTGTCGAGGATGATGCGGTCGCTGCTGGTGGTCCGGCCTTTGACGCTTGGACCTCGAGGGGGTCTGAGCGGGAGTCGGCGATGCCCCCGTCGACGGTGCCGCTGTTGCTGGTGCGTTCGGCACAGCTGGAGGAGCCCCGCTGGGAAAACAGTAGCGGAAGATGTCGGCTTCCGGATTTCCCCCGCCATGCTGTTTGAGCTGATCCTGTACCAGGAGGGCCGCCGTGGAGGCCTGATAGAGAGCCGTGCACTGGGTGGAGTGCCGACCTGGAGCGCCTACTTTCGATCTGCAGTATACGCAAGCTCGACCCCGAGTGAGCTGAGACTTAAATGGTTTGCACAGGGCTACTGCTCGCTCAGGAATGTCACCTAGCTCGTGCTTGTGAACAGTGTTCATGTGCTGCTTCACGTGCTTTGAGCTGGCAAGCCACATGTAACACAAGACACAGCGTTCAAGAAGATCGACCCGGGCTCCGGGCTGCAGGGGCCAGGAGGCCCAGTTGTGAACACTGCTGATGAAAGAAGGACGTCGCACAAGAGGCAGCTGACACTCCGGTATGTTTTCCTCCGTCCCTGGGCTATTATTGGAAGAGTCCGGCGGTGGCGAAGGCAGATCGGCCTGAGGCTCATCATCCGCTGCAACCGGTTTGCGAATGAAGCTTTCTCCCCCCAGTGCCTCACAGGCGCCCGTGTTGATATGCTTAACCAGCTGCTGATACCTAAAGAAACGGCGGTGGCACAACCGGCATTCAGGAAGTCCTCCAACTGAGTGAGCCACTGCATCAAAGGTGGTGGGGCATTTTGGATGTGCTGGCAGCCTGCCATGTGCAAGCTGACTGTGGATCCGCATCCCGTTCATGCTCGTGAACTGTTCACCACACTCCGGACAGGCTACCGTCTGAACAGATGTTGCATCAGTTGCTCGTTCCTCCGGCAGCGGAGTGGAGGCGAGAATCCGAAGCTGGCGAAGCTGTTCTTCAGCATATTGCAGGACCTGTGGCATGGTGGTGATGTCGGGTGCAGTCACTGCTCGGGCTTGCTGTTTGGCTACATATTGCTCCAGGCTCTGGGTGAGCTGCTGGATTGGAAGAGGATGATCCGCCTGCTGCCATATTTGGGCTGTGGTAGTATGGCTGAGGTGCGCAGGTTGCCTGAGTGCAGCACGGAGCTGCCTGGTCGAGGCTTTGGTCAGCCTTTCGAGACCTTTGCGCGTGAGCCCGACAGCAGTGAGGGAGTAGTGAGCACTTGTCTGCACGCATGCGGTCCAAAGGCGGACTCGGTTATGAGCCGTAAGCACGTGATGACCGTTGAGGGTACGGCGGAGGGCCTGATAGCGGCCGTTCCCAGCCTGCACACGGTGCTCAATATTCGAGTTTTGGCGACCCTTATAGGACACAATCGACCCCAAATATTCATGCTGTGCTTTGATCGGCAGAGTGCATTCGCGGCCTGACACAGTGAGCCGCAGGAGCTGCTGTCCAGCCTGAGTGGTGGTGTGGTCCCTAAGAATTCCCGCTGCTTCTTTACCCTCAAGTATAAGAAGGACGGCCGTTTTCTTATAGTTGACAGTAAGGTGAAGAGATTCGAGGGTGGTAAGGATTAACTCAAGGTCATTTTTGGCTCGCCGAAAATCAGCCCAATTACGGATGATCCAGTTAGACCATACATCATCTGCAAAAATTGTCATGATATGAACAAGCCACTGCTCATCACGAGATTGCATGAGAAGCTCCATAAACCTCAAGGTAAGAAAGCACCAGAGGTAGGGTGCAATTTTACATCCTTGTTTCACACCATTTGTTGTGCTGGTGGCTCCGTGATTGTTCTGGCCCGCTTGGTATTTATAGAGGGCATGCAGGTGCAACTGTTGAACAGCATTAACAACCTCCTTCGGGACATCATGGTGAAGCATGGTCTGGTACACTTCTGGCCGGCTGGCACAATCGAAGGCACGCGAAAGATCAAGTGAGAGGCTCATGGCCCCTATGCATTTAGCCGCTTTCTTACCCGCCTGTTGTTGGAAGCGATTTACGATGTTATCCTTAAGCATGCACGCCACTTGGTGAAAGTGCATATGGACTCTAAGGAGAGCTTCCTGGGTACCCCTCTGCTTCATGTAGGCAAACTGAGGAAGCGAGGCCAGAGCCGGGCGAAGCGCTTGCAATAGGTGCTCCCGAAGGGTGCCTGCCAGGGCTTTGGTAGTCGGACATTGGAGTCCGATAGGACGCATGGCTGCTACCGAAATCGGGGGCTTATTGGGCTTAGGGAGCCATTTAATGTAGCAGTCTTTCCAGTCGTGCTGAAGTGGTTTCTGGGCTGGCAATGCGAAGTGGTGATTGAGGGCCTTTGCCGATGCAGGCCGAGCACTGCTTCCAGACGGCAGCCGGCGCAATGTGAGGAGGCACCGCCTTGCAAAGTTTGAGAGCGCGAAATTCCTCCTGTAGGCTTTGCTCAGAGATATGCAATGGTTCGTGTGGCTCAAGAAGGCAAGCTATGTCAGGCAGGGCAGCAAAAGTCTGTCTGCCATGCTGAAGAATGGCCTGCAGTTCTCCAGAGGGTGTCAGCAGATGGCCGTCAGGGCCTAGCAGACGAGATGCTGTTTTGTAGGCTCTGGGTGCCATTCGTTTGACAATCTGGTAAAGGGTGCGTTGGTCACCGCGAACCGCTGCTTCCTCAGCCTCTTGAATTTGCTGCTCATAGAATGCCCTTTTGATTTCTTTGCTTTGTTGTCGAAGGGCACGAGAGGCCCGTCTAAACTGCACAAGTAATCGCCATTTATTCCATATGTGAGCAAAGGTGGCCGCCGAGGCCGCTCTAAGTCTAGCATATATGGCCCACGTGTGGCGGGCTGAAGCTTTGAACCGGGGATCGGCACTAATGCGATTATCAGCTCGTGACTTAGGGGGGAAAAATTTTTCAGCGGCATCCCACAAGACTGAGTTCAGGCTGGCCTGCAGACACGAGGTGTCCAGCGAGGCTTGCTGCTGCAGCAGCTGTTGCACTCGATCCTCCACATGTGCTTGCATGTCGCAAGCAATCGATGATTGTGCAGCCACGGCTTGCTGCAGGATATCAAGCTGACACCTATGCTGAGCAGGTTGCAGAACGGATGCCTGTCTGCGGTAGGGCTGCAGCCACAGCTCTGCATGGAGCGGGCGGTGCCCTGCCTGTCGCCAGCCGGCAACAGGAAATGACACAATGGGTGCACAATGCTTAGCCCTGCCCTTGGCTTCTGCTCGACGGGTCAGCACAAAGTAGTCAATTTGGCTCTGATGCGTAGGTGTCACATAAGTGTCACGATGGGAGGTATGCCACGTGTTTAGGGCACACAAGTCGCCTTCTGCCAATAGCTGCTGCATCTCCGGCGAGTGGTTGGTCGCCGGGTGGCGGGTGGCAGCTCCTCCTACATGCGGGTGATTGGGGACCAAGTTGGCATTAAAGTCACCTGCAATTACGAGATGATGGCGTTGGGGGGTCTGTTGTGCTATGGTGGCAACTGCCTGCCAGACTACCCTACGCAGCTCTAGATTTTGCAGAGTGGTCATGTGGGTCCGCCAGACATGTTGGTAAACACCGACTACCGTGATCGGAAGCTGAGTGTGTTGGACTGTAGCACGAACTTGCAGAACCCGGCCTGGGACGGGCTCGTGCAAGGCCACATCCGCGAAGTGTCGCTTGGAAAGCAGGATCAGCACGCCACTGGACCTGTCCGGTGGAGAGCATGTGTAGCCTGATGTGTGCATGCACATCCAGGGTCCTGATCTAAAGTCGGATTCGCAAGTCCAATGTGTTTCTTGTATGATTATGATCTGATAGCAGCCCTGTTGATCAAGCCATGCAAGAAGTTCTTGATATACATGGGACGACAGTCCCCCTGCATTCCAAGAAAGTAGCTTTATGCTTTGCCTAGGTTGCACTCGGGCTGGGGCATGCTGGGTCCTAGAGGGATGTCTGGCGACAGGGCGGGAGTTAGGGCGGGCAAGCTGTCCTAGGGTGCGGGTAGTATGCCATTGCCCTCGATACCACGTTCCTCCTACAGTAGACGTCTCAGCTCTACCGCAGGCTCGTTTAAATGCTCGTTTGACATGTCTGGGAATGGGCGCAGTCGGACTCATGGGTGCCTGACCATGATGCTTCTCCACCGAAGTGGATCCCGCACCTGCCATGGTCACAGGTGCAACCCTCGCCCCAATAGCCTGTGATGGGAGAGCGTAGGTTATCGTGCTCTGCAGGCTACGGCCGGATTTGGGACCGGCTCGACTCACAGCTGATTTACGGAAGAGTGGGGTAGGTTTACTCCTACGGGGAGGATGAGGACTTAGGGTTTGTGTGCTGCATGTGCCGGTGCCTGCAACAGCCGTCAGCGGCTGTGGGGGCTCGGCCACCGTTGCTGACATGGCAGCGAGGTGCACACTCCTGTTTGGGCAAGGTCGCTTGGGAATCTTAAGGTACTTAAGGTAGGGTCCTAGAGGGTGCAAGGTGCAGAGGGACTGAAATCTTAGGGTGCAGTGGCTCCTGGTTCGGCCAAGAGGAAGTCGCTTGAGGCGCATATCAGGCAGAGTCGTCGAAGCGTCCGGTATGGTACCGGTGCGTGAGTTTGTACTCTGTCTGCAACCATTCCCAAAGAAACCGTCCCTCGAGGCGCTGGGTTGCAAATCCTTGAACTCGCGGCCAGTCCAGTTGCTGCAGGCATCGGCGTAGTGCACCAATGCGCGCGCCTGCAGATCTACTAGAAAGCTCTGGCTGCAACTCTGCAAGCTGTCGTCTGAATAATGTAATAAAGGTCTCGCATGCATCTGCAAGGTCCGATCCTTCCAGCACCAGGGACGTGTCTGACCAATGCCCTGTCTCATTCTCACTTTCTCTTTCTCCACAGTCTCCAGAATCGCTGGCCCCTTCGGCATCATGTTCACTGGTGGCATCATCGGAGCTTGACGAGGAGGGTTCGCGAGGACGTCGTCGAGAAGAGGCTGGCTTTGGCATTGGTTCGCCAGCCCCGCCTGGGTCACTTGCCGAATCTCGGGCCGGATCACTGGCCGCTGCAGAAGGCAGAGAGTGCCCAACAACATCGTGATGCACTGGCATAGGCGCCGGTGGCCCTTTTGGGGCCAGGTCCTCTGCAGTGGGAGGCCCCTGCAGCTGGATGTCTCGCGGTGTCCTTTCCACGCTTTCCAGGTCAGAGGATGGAGGCTCGGGGCTGCCATCGCTCATCTAACTTCACGGAAGGACCCTGAACGAAAGGAGCAACAAAAGAAGAGAGAAAGCCCCACGCAAACCCGGGCACTTCGCTGTGAGCCTTGGGGCTTCATCACCATCATCATCATCATCATCACCATCATCATCATCATCATTACACACCACGTATTACATACAACTCAGTAATAGCAATCCCCAGAACAACTAGTTATCACTACACACGAAACAAGTTCACGATACATGCTATCCCAAACCCCTGCCCAAAAATGTTTTTTCCCAGTACGTAAAAACACCGAACCCCGAAAAAAACGATACAAAACCACCCCCGAAAGTGAACCCGCAGGGTTAAAGGGCCTCAATTCCAATGTTGTCCAAAGGCCAACACCTGTGGCTATTGACACCTCAGTCCAAGATGCGAGAAAGCGTCAAATCGAGAAGGAGGTCGCGGAACAGTATGAGGAGAAGATCGCTGAGTTGCGAAGTGAAGTCCTCAAAGCCCAGAAAGCCGAACAACGTCTCCGTGCTGACCGTGACGAGTGGAAGCTAGTCGCCGAAGCAATGCAGGAACGCGAAGGAGACGATGACGGTGATGAAGCTGGTGAAGAACATGAAGATGAGGGACAAGAGGATGATGCCGGTGTAGGGCATGACCCTCCAGATCCGCCTAATCCAGATGATGGTGATGACAAGAAGAAGAAAGGCGGAGGCAAGCCCGACCCGGATCCTCCTGATGCGCATGATCCCGATGGAGACGCAGATCCTGAGGTGACAGAGGTGAGAATTTCCAGAAGGGAGGCCGACAAAGTGACGGTACCCCCTTGGCCTACTCTCACTCATCTGAATAATTGGCGATCTGTATGCACCGCAAATGTTCTCGGGGCATCAGCTGACCCCAACCATGAGGACTGGATGTTGTGGCTGGCACCAGCTTTCAACCCATTTCCTGACGTTGAGGCTTTGAACGATTCCGGACACAAGAAGTTCAAAAGCATTGATGTCAAGTTGGGCGTCGCCACGGTTGCAATGTTGCCTGCCGGTGGTGACAAGTCCGTTGACCTGTACCTGGAAGTGAACCGGAAGGCCAATGATTACATCAGTCGGCCAGAAGGCAAGATCATCAAAGGGCGGCAAATCATCGCGATGATGTACGAAAGTTTCCGGACACATGACCGTCTTGACATGATCATCACGCTTGACTACTTGGTGAAGCTCCAGTACCAGGGCGACAACAAGCTTCATACGTTCAAACAGACATGGTTGGAAGTCCTTGGACGGATGAGGCCGGAGGACATACCATCCAAGACAGCTCTTCGAGATTGCTTGTACAGCAAGATCAAGGATTCACCCGCAATGAAAATGGATTTGGGTATGCATTATGACCATCTACCCTACAACCACGAAGATCGATCGTATGACAACCTCATCAAGATCATCGATCGAACCATCATGCGGAGACGTGAACAAGCAAATCTCACTCAGTCACAAATCGGTTTGCGCCAAATGTTGGAGGGCAAGGACATGCTCGCTGCACCGGCCAAGGTACCCGACAAGACACCACCCAAAGCAGCGCCTTCTCCAAAGGTAAAAGCGGTCCCTACCAAGCCCGACAATGCAGCTCCCGTGTTGCCTCAGAGCAAGGCGAAGAGCCATGCGAAGGTCAAGCCGAAGCCCAAGAAGAAGACAAGAAGTGAATCGGTGGACAACAAGGGCGACAAGAGCAAGAAGCACATCCGCTGCAAGTTCCATTTCACAGATGCTGGGTGTCGGAATGGTGACAAGTGCCCATTCAGTCACTCCAAGAAGACTCCAGAAAGACCACTTACGCCGAGATCAAGAACTCCAAGTCCGTCCGGAGGAGCAAATCGGATATGCTATTCATTCAAGAACACTGGTTCGTGCTCGAGGAAGAATTGTCCTTTCAAGCATGAGGCTGCTGCCACTCCGGCGCCAGAGCCAAAGGCGAAAGCCAAGGCCAAGTCCGAAGCCAAAGCGACACCAGCCAAACCGAATGCGAAGGCCAAGGCACTCCCAGCGGCACCTGCCATCAGATTGTGTCGAAGGTGGAATCCATCAGCACCAGCTATTTGGAAACGGTCCTCAAGACAGAGTGATGAAGAGTCAGTTTGTTCATCCGTTAACAGCGACGCTGATTCGGATTGTTCGACTGATGACGAGTCACCGGGACCGACTACGTCGACCCGGAGATCTGTCAAGCTCAGTGTGACATTCGCCGAGGACGTGAAGTTTGTTTCCTCACGACCAAGAAAGTCGAGCGAAGAGAGGAGACGAAAGGTAACGCCCGTTGACGTGGACGCGATCGTCAATAACGAGGATCGAGCCGTTGATTTGGAGTTCGCCAAGCACAAAGCGAGATTGAGGGCACAGATCATGAGGGACATGGTGGACGGTGATCGGGTTTCGTTCGTACGGATCCCAGGAACCTCTCGAGTGGAGGAAGTTTCATTCTATGATGAAGAGGATTCCATTGTTGAACGTGAACTTGATGCTGCGCACAGCAAACGAATCATCGATCAAGGAGTGTTCAAGTGCATGGTACAACCGGTCATCCTCAAGAAGAAGATCAAGTTCCTGATGGACACTGGTTGTGGACATGACCTCATATCCCAGAAGAAGATTGAAAAGCATAGTCTCGAGACGCTCGTGACTCCGGAGCCCATATCGTTTCAGACCGCGAATGGAATAACCACACTGATCTTGTGTCGAATTTCCAGACCGAGTCATTCGAGGAACCGATCAATGCCTATGTGTTGGATGACACTCCATCGGTGCTATCGATTGGGAAGCGGTGCATGAACTTCAACTGCGGGTTTGTGTGGCCACCCGGAAGGGAGCAATTCTTGATCAACCCGCAGGGCAAGAGGATCTCTCTATTCGTGAACGGTGACATTCCCTACATTCGTGCGGGAAGCTCAAAGTCATTCGTGCATGATGATCCGGAGGCCAGAGCAATTACCGAAATTTTCAAAGGTGTGGTACCCCCGAATGGCGTCGACGCTAGCGTGGCTGCCGCCGCTAAGGCCGTACCAGGTGAAGCCGAAGAAGATGATGAAGGTGCTGCCCATGGACGACCTCCTGATCCTGAACCTCACGAAGCTCCTGGGGAGGAAGTTCCAGAAGCAGAAGCGGGAAGACCTCCTGACGATGAGGGAGCGGGAGTGGGTGAAATTCCTGCAGGTGATGACGATGAAGTGATCATTGAGGTGGAAGGCGAAGGTGCTCCGAGCCGCAAGGCCAGAATCGGAAGAGCATTTCAACGCGTGATCAAACATTGGGGTGATCTCATCACATTTGACTTCCTCGACATGCGCAAGGCCGCAGAGGCTGGTGTAGGGCTCGATGACGGTGCTCGTGAAGTCTTGGTCATCAGAGACATTGCCACTAAGATGATTGCCGCAATACCCACCGCATCGAGGCATACTGACGAAGTCGTCATGGCCATAAGACGCGTGATGGGAAGGCGCAAGATCCACATGGCATACAGTGACGAAGCTCCGGAGTTCGAGTCAGCCATGGCGCAGTTGAAGATAGTGATCGATCATTCCCTCCCGGGAAAACCCAACAACAACTCGCTTGCTGAACGATCGAATCAGGAAGTGATCAACACTGTCGCCGCATCCATGTTGCACGCTGGATTCCATGCGCAGTATTGGACATTCGCACTGAACTGTGTGATGCAGAACCTCAACATTGAGGGTGTGGAGGGTGATGGTGATTCAGCTTGGAAGCGAATGACAGGGAAAGACTTCGAAGGGAAAGCCATACCGTTTGGGGCCAAGGTCTTCTTCAAGCCCACAGACACGAGGCCGAAGACCTATGGCAACAAGTTTGACCCGAAGGGCATACCAGGCATCTTTGCCGGGTACATCATCACAGCTGGTCAAGGATGGTCCAAGAAATATCGCGTTTGGGACATGAAAGAATTTGCTAACGCAAACTTGTCAATGGACGCATCCGTTCCCAGGAAGTTGATGAAGCCGTACGAGACGGAGGTTGTCTACTTCCCAGAGGAGATCACATTCCCATTGAAAGTTGAGTATGAAAGGATGAATGAAACCATTGAAGGACTCAGGGACAATGTCGATCTCGCCTGTAAGGAGGTAAATGACATCGACAACGGTGATGATGGTCCGCCCGGAGGGAACGGTGGTGGTGGAGCCGATGACGATCCAGGCGATCTACTTCCTCCACCTGATCCTGGAGAAGATCCTGATTTGAAGGACATTGATCCATCCGACATTGAGACGGAACCGTCTGGTGAAGTATTCAGGTCGGAGGAGCATGAAGCTATCGATGCCATCGGTGATAAGATGCTCGAAGAGTTAGACAGAGAGCTAGCTGGTCGCGCAGAACCACCTCTTCCCGTACCAAGGATGACTGGGGAAGACAGACGATCGCACCGCGAGGTTGTTCCAACCGGCAGGCTCATTCCTGAAGGGGACAGCGAAGAACCGGTGAGATCATTAAGATCCTGAAGGAAAACAAGTTGGCTCCCAAAGAAATTGAGCATTGGAGCGCAGGGAGGAAAGGAGACGGCATTGTGTACCTCACCGACGACGGCGAAGCTTGCAAGATTGACAAGAGGGGAGCCCCGTACAAGATCAGAAGTGATGGTCGACGCACACTCCCCACTCCACGGCCTATACACTCATATTCCCCAGAAGCATGGAAGAAACTGAGTGAACCGGAGAAGAAGGCAGCCTACAAGAAGGATAAACGAGACAAGGCTCGGGTTGCCAAGAAGGACCGGAAGAAAGCCGCGATAGGAAAGAAGATCGTCACCAAGATGATGGACGACATGATCTTCCCTAAGATCGTTCCTTGTGAGGAGATAGATTTGCATCTCAATGTGGCCTTGGATGATGATGATGATGGTTGGTCCTGGGCAGTCGTATGTGGATCAGTACACGCAGGAACAGTTCTTAGCGGATGTCGTATGTCGTGCCGGCGGTTCCGGCGCACATGGTCATGGACGAAAATTGGATTCCTTCTATGCCATGTACGACTTCCCACGGAAACGTACATCGGGAAAAGAATCCTGCAGCGAAGTAATGCTTCAATGCCATGGTAACACGACCAGTGACACGCAAAGAGATGCTGAGCAATCCCAAAGCCATGGAAGCGTTCATGAAGGAATGGAAGGGATTGTGGGATCAGGAAGTGTTTGACTTCTCGACTACGCGTGAATACGATGAAGTGGTGGCCGAGGCAAAGAAGAAAGGCGAGAAAGTGCGCATGGTGTGTGTACGCGGGCTTATCTATGAGAAGAACTACCAGCTCAAAGAGGACGATCCTGCCAGGAAGTTCAAAGGACGAGGAGTACTACTCGGCGACCAGGTCAAGGACCAGAATATGGAAGCCGCATTGTTCCAGGATTTGGGGAATTCCCCGGCAACATTTGATGCCTCACGGTGGGCAGACTATTATGGTTGCCTCCCTGGCAATGATGTTCAGATGGCTGACGCTATCCAAGCATACATTCAGGCGAAGTTGTCCGGCACTCCCTGCTGGGTCGAACTACCTGATGAACCCATCTGCAAATCGGCAGAAGTACCGTAGGCCTGTGTGTCGTTTGGTCAAAGCTCTGTACGGACATCCTGATGCAGGAACGATGTGGGAACAACATTGCCATACTGCGGTGCAGAAAGTAGGATTCAAGCCACTTGGCGACGAATGGCCATCATTGTACTTCCACCCACAAATGAAGCTTCTGCTTGTCATCTATGTGGACGATCTGAAGATGGCAGGACCCAAGGAGCATCTATCAAAGGGATGGAATATGTTGCGCCAGGAACTCCGGTTGGAAGATGAAACGCCATTGGGCTTGTATCTCGGTTGTCGCATCTCCAAAGGCGAGGCAACATTGCATGACAAGACGAAGGTGCAAACTGTTACCTACGACATGGAGGCCTACCTGGACATGACAGTCAAGAATTACTGCGACTTGACCGGGTTCGATCCGACAAAATTCAAGACGGTACCATCGCCGAGTCCTGCTGAGGAGACTAAGGGTCACCCAGCTCGCGCTCCGGCACAATCAGGTCAAAGTCATCGATGCACGTGGTGTGGACACACCATGCCTGTTGACAAGGATGGTCGGCTTATTCCGCCTCCGCCTATTCCCTAGGCGCCAGAGGAAGAGGAAGTCAATGAGGCGAATTGCGGCGCGCTTGCTCCGCAGGCCGCGAGCATACTTATGAAGTTGCTCTATGCCGCACGTATTTGTCGTTTTGATCTGCTGCGAAGCATCAACAAGCTTGCACGCAAGATCACCAAGTGGACCAAGAAGGAGGACGCTCTTCTTCACCACCTCATGGCCTATGTGCACCAGTCCAAACATCACATGATGATTGGATGGGTTGGGGACTCCTTGGAGGCCTCTTCCATCGGATTGTTTGCAGATGCGGACTATGCGGGTTGTGGGGAAAGCTTGAAGTCTACCTCCGGTGCCCATATGCACATTCAGGGACCACATACAAGATTTCCCTTGGCGGGGCTGAGCAAAAGGCAGGGGTGCCTGAGCCACTCCACACCTGAGGCCGAGATTGTAGCGGCCGACTTTGCTATGTCACGTCTTGGGCTGCCAGCAATTACATTGTGGCAGCAACTAGGGGGACAGAACCCTGACTTCGTCTTCTATGACGACAATCAGACCATGATCGGGGTGGTCCGCACAGGCAAGAATCCGACTATGCGTCATCTGGAACGCACCCATGGCATCTGCGTTGGTTGGATGCATTCCATTTTTCAGGAGGGTTACGTTTCCCTTGCCTATGAGGCTCATAGGCAAGGGAAACTATGAGGTCACTGCCAAGATGGCGGCGGACATACACACTAAGTCGTTCAAGGATTCCGTGTCCTGGACGCATGCGTGTCAGCTCATCAACATTTTCCCGCCGGCGCTCATTGGCTCCCAGGAAATTATGGATCTGATGCGCCCAACTCATACCCAAAGCACGGATGAGAAGGGCCAACAACACTACTTGTTCAAGAGCGAGGTTCCTTGTTTTCCTTACACGCAGACGCCGATACTTCCGCAGGTGTTGTATCGCGCTGGGCTTTCGAGTAAGGAGGGCTTGCAAGAGCACGACAGTGTGGACCCCATTATGGTTGTCAAGTTTCCGCGCATGTTGCGGGGGCCGCCTTCTGAGTTGCCGCCGGGTCGTTACCTTCGTTCGACTTGGATTCTTCGTGAAGGGCAGTGGCATCAGATGGAGGATCGTGCTGTTAGCCCTGATCAGCCGGGTAAGTTCGACCGCTATGTCGAGCGTGCCGTGTTTCAGTACCATCCTGTGCGGGGCAGTTTGCGGCCGGCCGCTAGTTCGGAGGTCGTTGTGCCACCGTTTTTGGCTCCTCCGGAACCGCCTATGCGCACCCTGCCCGCCAAGTGGCGTGCGGTGGTTGTCGCGCTGCCGCGTGCCATGCATGGGGGGTACCAGGGCTTCACATTGCCTCTTTGCTTCAACGGCGTGCCCAAAAGCCAAGCATCACAGTTCGGCTACGATCAATGGTCGATTGTGTATGAGGACGCGTGGCAGGATATGGCTGAAAAGAGAAGGGAATATCAAGGATATGGAGGAGCGATAGTGCCTCATGTGGTCGAATTCGCGGTGAACAAACCCAAAGAAGGCTTGGTGATCCAGTTTTACGACCGTGATGGGGGGTTGGTCCATACTTACAAGAACCCTTACAGTCGATGGAAATACCGAATCACCATCAAAGATGCACCAAAGGCGGTGACGGTGTGGACATTCATCGGAGTTGATGAGGAAAATTGGTGGAATGAGTATGCCCCGGTCAAGGACTGTGTTATGCAGCATGCTCCTGATCCTCATTATGACCCCGGACTGCAAGTGAATGTTCTTAGTGTGGGACGAGAAGCCGATGATGCCATGTGTTCCTACATCTTTGACGTGGTGGAGTCAAGGCAGGATAACCCTAATCTCGTGATCTTCATTGGTGCAGGAGTGTTGGGGAAGAATTCATGGCTAAGTCGCAAAATTGTCAATAACCCCGATAGGGCCAAATCGCGGACTGACTACCCATGGGGGGAGGTCGTCCAAAGAGTTGCACGCCGAGCGGCATCTTGGGGGAAGCGCCTCCTCATGTACCTGTTCAAGAAACCAAGCAGTATAAGGGCCTGTGTGACGATGACATGTGGAAGAGCATCAGAATTCAAGGATGCACCCATGGTCAAGACGCAACTCCGCGAATAGCGGATGAAGCTTTATTTTCCCATGTGTCAAAAATTTTGGTTTGTCAAACAAACTCAAAATTTAGGGCGTGAGTTTTTATCAAAGTTTTCTTAGCATGAAACATGACAGTTCAGCGGATCTCAATGAGTCTTTGTTATGCCGTCAGTTGGCTCCACAGGGTGGTGGGAGGGTAAGAAAAAATTCCGGCATAAGTCCGGGAAAAAGTTTTGTTTAACGGGGACCCGAGGCTTAACAGGTTCGACTTTTAACCTGGCTCTTTTCGACGTTGCCTCTAGGGCTCCGTGCGCACCTCCTTAGGAGGCAGATGGAAGTGGATGCTCATTCTTCTCCTGTGGCTTCAGAGCTACGGGGGCAGAGGCAGGAAGCCACAGCCGAAGGTTTCGAGGGTGTTGAAGAGTCTGATGAGTGCACTGGCAAGCCGTTGCCTGCTGAAGGTGAATTCAGCTTTGATAGACATCTTGAGTGCCTTGGAGAGGAGCTTGAGGAAGTAGGGACAGGGCGGCCCATGCCTTCACATCTTGATGCCTTCGTGCCTTCGGAGATAGACAGTGAGCAGAGAGAAGCTTGCGCGCGCGACCGAGAGTCTGCAAGGGAAGTAACCAATTGTGGTGACAGCAGCCTGCTAAATGATGCTTTGGGGGACTCGGTGCTTGCTCTGGGTAGGAGTGTGGTGGACATTCCTTTGCCGTGGGAGCAGGAGAGCATGAGTTTGGTCTTTGGTGAAGATGATTCAGTGACAAAGCTTTTGGCAGGCCTCCCGAAGCACATACCTGTGCCTGCTGTGTCCAGCTCTAGCATTCAGCCTTCAGACCTTGTTGCCGAGCCACCGGCAAAACGCGCACGGCAGATGCCTGAGAGTGGGGAGTGTTTCAGGGTTGCTATTTCTTCGAGGGCCTACGACAGTAATGAGGAAAAGGAAGAGGCTCAATGGCGACGTGCTCTTGAGAAGTGGCTAGTCATACTTACTGAGTGCCCAGGGTCGTCATATATCGGAGAAACGGTTGCCATCCAAAAGACTGACGACGCAATTGAAACCTTGCGTGAACTCTTTGGGCGAAAGAGTGGCAGTACAGTCATGAAAAGGGGATCGGCCCTCATGGGATACCTCTCATGGGGGCGAAAGGAATGCAGGGGCGATGACCTTTTCCCTTTCAAGTCCTCGCATCTGGATGGCTATTTAAAGCACCTTAAGAGAGAAAAGCGGCCCGCCGGGGCTTTCACCAGTTTCCAGGAGTGCGTGAATTTTGCCATACATGTGGTCGGCATTGCTGTCGACGAGTCAGTCATAGGACCAAAGCAAAGCACTGTGTGGAGCCATTGGAGTAAAGGCATCATCGGTCAGGCACAGCTGACCAAGGCACAGCGGTAGCCGGCCACGGTCCTGCCTGTGGCATACGGTGCAGCCCTGGAACGTTTGCTTGAGGATGAATCTGTCAACAGCTTTGATCGTTACGCCTGCGGTGCCATCTTGTTTGGGATTTTCTCTCGGAGCCGAGTGTCGGATTTGAGAAAAACATTCGGTTGGTTCCTTGACTTCAGTGAACTTGCAAGTGGAGGCGAAGGGTTCATCGAGTGCAAGACGCGAGACCATAAGACGGCCAATGCTGTGGCTCATACAGGTTTCAGCATGCCTTTGGTTGCACCTGCGCGAGGTGTTACATCTTCAGCATGGGCTGTGACATGGGCCAAGGTTGCAGAGGAGGTCGGTTTGGGTTTTGGTTCCACCCGAGTAGGACCCGTGCTTCCCGCACCTGATCAAAAGGGGGGCTGGACTCGACGATGTGTCGATTCAGGAGAGGTCACAAAGTGGATGCGTGCGTTACTTGACAAGGCCGGCTGTGATGTGCCTGAGTCGTCGACTTCGCATGCCATCAAAGGGACTTCTTTAAGCTGGTGCTCTAAGTTTGGAATGGATAGGCATACCCGCCTGCGCCTCGGACACCATAGCTCAGGCGACGGATCCTTAGATGCTTACGGGCGCGACGACCTTGCGCCAGCCCTCTTGAAATGCACGGATATGTTAGGAAGCATCAGGCGAGGGGTGTTCATGCCTGACTTGTATCAGAGGATGAGGCTGCATCGCCGAGCATGCCTGCGTTTGAGGCTTCTGATGAGGAGGGATCTTTAGGCAGGACCACTGAATCGTTCGAGAAGGTCGATGCTGTTGCCACTCCTTTAGCAGGCCCTGCAACTTGCGGGGAACAGGTTTGCGAGAGTGAGTCGAGCGACAGCTCGAGCGAGTCGGAGCCTGAGTCCGGAGATGAATGGGTCAAGGGCGAGGACTTCCGGCAGCGAGCAAGCCTAGCACCTGGAGGCCTGAGGCCACCATGTACAAACATTCTAGGACCGGTGTTGTGCATCTCATGAGTGCTGGGAGTTCAGATGGGCTTTTCATATGCGGGAGGGCCCTCACCAATGATCATGTGGAAGTCAGCGGTGTGCCGTTCCTTGAGTTGCGAAAGTGCAAGCAATGTGATTCGGGCCGGCCGGTTAGAGATGTGGGCAGCTTGAATGTCGCGCTGCAGCAGATTATGAAATGCAAAGATAAGTGATCGAGTTTTGTCCACGTGGGGCGAAAGAAAAGCGAAGTGCGCTTGAAGAGCAGATGAGGTTCATCTGGAAATCAAGTTCAGTTGCAAGTGCGAAGGTTTTGAGGAGCTATGTTATTGCTCGAAGTTTTGCTCAAGTGGAGACATCTTCTGAACAAGCATGAGTGAGTTCTTTTAAACGAGTAGAGACATGATGGAGACACATGTTGGGAGCGCTTGTGAACGTGACGTGTGACTTCATGATTTGACATGTCTCTGACAGGTAGTGCTGTGCTGTGAGACTTGCTGAGGGATCATGGGCCATGGGCTCGCTAACGGAATCTACGGCGGCCTTTGCATCAAGGGCGAAAGAGATTGGCTTGACCCAAGCCAATGTGGCCACGATAACGGGGTCAGGAGTGGATACGCTCTCCAAATTAGCTTTTGCAACAGTACCGCCGGGCCAGTCTCCGAGCGATGATCAGGTACAGCGGCTCTTCGGGGCCGCGCCCATCACGGCAGGGACCATGGCTGCAGCAAAGCATCTAATCTTTGAGGCCCATACCCTCGTAGTCCAAGAGTTAAAAACTCGAGTTCAGAGGGGGGACTCTGGAGCACCTTCGACGCTCGCCACAGCCGAGAGGGAAGAGCGCATCACCGAGCAGCGTGCAAGGATCACGGGCCTTTTGCATCGCGGAGTAGAAGAGCCTAGCCATGCTTCTTATGACTTGGTGTACGCCATGCTGTCTTCGGATTCCTTGACTTATTTAGGGCCAGACAGGTTCCCGACCAGACAGTCTGAACTTCAGGGCAAAAAGCCAGGGAAGGAGCTTACCATCGATGGGAACAGTGTGACGGTGAAGGACAAGGTGCCTCATCAAAGCTGCGCAACGGGGACCGAACTCGAGCTTACGCAGGCTCTGAGCATTGGCATTTGATCTAGTCAAGTGTGCCAGTTACGACACCATGAATCGGTATCACTCGTCCTTGATTCACCGGCTGCAGGAGTTGCCACCTCCTACTTATGTGAAGATTTCAGTGGCACAGGTGCTCAGGGCAGACAGGGCAGCTTTTACCCGCATAGCTGAGGGTCTGCCCTCAATCAAGCGCCAGCCCGATGGGACTTTACCCTTGGACCGAGCCCTCGAGAACATTCTTCAGGATCCCAGCATCAGTTTCCACCTGTTGCCTTTGAAAGGTGGAGAAAGCGACGATAACAAGCGGAAGTGGACAGATGAAGCCAAAAAGACTGATGAAGCGAATAAGTGGAAGAAGAATGGCAAGGGCAAGGGCAAGGGAAAAGGCAAGGATCAGCCGGGAGTTAAAGGGGCCAAGTTCTCGCACTTTGCATGCAGTTGCTGATGAGCAGAAGGCAGGCATGAAGCCAAAGGTGTTCCAAGTTACATGGGCCAAGCGTGCACTGATGCGCCAGGACCCCGGCGCCATCTCCTACATCCTGCACCCATCGTCGCAGTGCTGGACCAGCGCCTGGCTCGCACTACTGAAGCTGCATTGATCTCAAAACTGAAAGGTTATGGCGCTGTAATTTGATCCCATGCATGATTTGCGTGATTTTTTCTGTGCCTGCGGGATTCCTAGGCTCGATGCCCTGGAGCTTTTGGTATCGAACTTTTTGGCAGTCCTGCATGGCCCAAGTAGCGTATAAATGCCCAAGAACTGATTGGCAAAACTGTGGCTGAGTTAGCTGCTTGATCTGCAGCTCGACAGCTGTCGCACGACTGGCCCTGGGAAAGCATTCAAGGATTTCTGTATTAGGTGCTATAATCGAAGACAGCTGGGTCGACGTGTACAATTCATGGGGTCCAGACACCAAAGTAGCCGATTTCATCAAGTTGTCCAGCTTTGTCCACGACCTGGGATAAGATAAGTCAGATGGCTTCAGGGGAGAAAGGATAGAAAGAGAGAGAGAGAGAGAGAGAGAGAGAGAGAGAGAGAGAGAGAGAGAGAGAGAGAGAGAGAGAGAGAGAGAGAGAGAGAGAGAGAGAGAGAGAGAGAGAGAGAGAGAGAGAGAGTGAGAGAGTAGCCATTTTGGCTCAAGTGCTGCACCCTTGTGGGGAGGGCCTGTTCAGCCTTCTCTGCATCGGGGGGGAGACGCGGAGTTAACTCGGGGTTGTGCCCCCGTGGGAGCTTCCGTCGTTTCCCCCAGCGGTGCTTGAGCTAATCATATCCGTTGCCACGTTGCTCCAGCGTCCTCTTTAGGGTGACGCTATACTCGTGAAGGGCAAGAGTGAAGAACTTCAACCTTGGAAGCGACCTCGTTACTGCAAGTCCTCCTTTGACCACGCTACTGAACAGGGGGGGACGCACTTCTCCAGCAAGCACGTTGACCTCTCCAAGGACAAGCTTCGCGGGGAGATGGGAGATTTCCAACGCTTGGGCGAGGGGCTACCACACGTCATAAAATCGTGACTTTCCGGACGGGGGAGATCGCAAAGTACCATGGCGTGGAGTGGTCGGGAATGCCGGCTGTGCCGTTACGCCGGCGGCATCTGTCAGCCTGGGTTCCGTAAGACACACGTCAGGGAAGATCCCCAATGCAGGTTGCACGGCATGGTGCAACGCATGAGCATGCCGCTGGGGGATGCAGCGTATGAGCCTCCGAGACCACCGCAGAATGTGTAGAAAGACGGCTTTTCGCACAGGGGGGGGGCTCCACTTGCTTTTCGAACCAGACACGCTGGACCGCTGGACTACGCAACAAGTTCAGACCGACGACGAGGGGCGATATCTGCTCATGCCGTCGGGGGAGGCCCTCGGGCCTGACGCCGTGGGGGAGTACGAAAGGTGCATGGCCAGACTCTCCCACAGGTTCCGGTTGGGAGAACAAGCAGACCTCCTAGTACGTACTGTCGATAAATGGCTGCCGAAGGTTGCCCAGGAGAACAGAGTGTATGCAATGAAGTTCCCGGAGCATATACCTACTATGTTGCGCAAAGCTTGGGGGATTCGACGCAAACTCCGACAACGGCGAGCAGAGCAAAAGAAAGCCACAAAGGGGGAGACACAACACATGACCGACGAGGAGGGCAAGCCACCAACAACAAAGCAGACGGAAGCAGCCAGCAGCTCGCAGGGGGCGACTACAGCCAATGTGAGAAGGGAGGACAGTGCCTCGGACACCCCGCCAGACTGGGGAAGTGAAGACAGCCAAACCGAAGAAGGAGGAGAAGCACAACCATGGCGACCGGACGACGACAACCAAAGTGCAGACCTGGGGGACAAGACGACGACAACCGCAGTGGCTACTACCAGAACGTCGACTCACAATGGCCGTGGGGAGCAAGCCAATGAGGAGAAGCCCGCAGAGCCGCAGGGGGAACCATCGGCCCGGCGTAAGGCTGACCACAGAAAGCCCGCCGAGCCGGAGGGAGACCCCAACGCCACACGACCCAGCAAGCCGGCGGGGGAACCACGACCCAAACGGTCGCGCCAGCTCACAGTCACGCAAGAACTACCTGCAGGCGAACCACAGGGCGCTTGGGGGAGACCGGCAGTCACCCTGGTGCCGAACATAAGCTGGCAGGTGCAAGCGGTGCAAGAGTATATGGCACAACGCAGAGGGGAGATCGCGGCAAGGTCGAGTGCTGAACAGAAGTGAGCGTGAGCGTGGCAAAAATTTTCGAGCCTAGCACATGTGGGGGGGGACGATGTTTGGTTTTAGCTTTGTTTCGGCTTAGTGCTTTGCTTGCGTTGTTTTGTTCTGCTGAAAGCTTTCCCACAGTGCCTAATCCTCGTTGGGCCATTTGCCTCAACTTTGCACCGTCTGCAAACTAGACCATGTACCTAGAAGTGCCAGCGAAGCTGCGTCCTGGTGTGAACTTTTTGTGCGGGCCGACATGGCCCTTCTCGGGTAAACTCATTCCAATGGGCTGGACTAAAGCCCCTAATCCTAGCTTCTTTTCAGCACACCTTTCGCAACGAATTCGGGGGACAAGAGTGACAAGAGGCTGCAATTTACCTTTCCGACCTTGACGAGTCCAGTGTTTTCTCGTGTTAAACCACGGGGGAGAGCATGCCTTTTCCTCTTGCTCCCAGAGAAGGCCGGTACGCGTTCATGAGTGTTGCTACTTTCGCTGTTGCTGTTTGCTGAAGTGAATAAAAAAGGGGGAAGGTACCGGCCTCCTCTTTTCCTTGGTACAGCCAAGCCCCTTCTCGTGAAACCGGTGGGGGAACGAACAACCCGTGAAACGCGGGTGTGCGGACTCGCACAGGGAGAGGGCCCTGGACGCTGGCCCAACCCCTACGCCCGGTAGAGAGAGAGAGAGAGAGAGAGAGAGAGAGAGAGAGAGAGAGAGAGAGAGAGAGAGAGAGAGAGAGAGAGAGAGAGAGAGAGAGAGAGAGAGAGAGAGAGAGAGAGAAGAGAGAGAGAGAGAGAGAGAGAGAGAGAGAGAGAGAGAGAGAGAGAGAGAGAGAGAGAGAGAGAGAGAGAGAGAGAGAGAGAGAGAGAGAGAGAGGGAGGGAGATAGAGACAGGAGAGAGAAAGAGAGAGAGAGAGAGAGACCTGGCCTGCAATCCTAGTGTCTTTTCAACACGCCGCCTTGAATGAATTCGGGGGGAACAGAAGGCCGTAATTCATTTCAATCAAACCTCGTAGTCCCATGGTGGTCCTTGCTTATACACAGCGGGACAACAAATGCAAGCTTTTCCTTTGACCCCCAGAAGGCCTGTGGGTGGGGGGGGATGGGGCTTTCATGTCATGCTAGGATGCTGTTGTTCGGTCGCATGTGACGTGGGGTATGCACGCGAAACACCAACAGGCCTTCCCTTTTCATGCTTCGGCAAAACTTGTCCACCTATACAGCCGAGCCGACCTGGGGCGAACCCCTGGGGGGAGCAAAGGACACTCCGCGAATAGCGGGCGTGCGTTTGCGCACGGAGGAAGCGGCCTGAACGCTGCTGCGACCCCCACACCCGGAAGAGAGAGAGAGAGAGAGAGAGAGAGAGAGAGAGACAGACAAAGAGTGGAGAGAGAGAGAGAGAGAGAGAGAGAGAGATAAAGAGAAACAGAAAGAGAAAGAGAAAAAATGGAGAAGAAGATAGAGTAATACATGGAAGAGAGCCAGAGAGACAGACAGAGAGAGAGAGAGAGAGACATAGACAAACAAGGAAGCGTATAATGATGTGGTTCACGAATCCCTTGTTAGCATTAAATGTTTTTTCTCTATGACTCCTGCTCCATATCTCTCTCTCTCTCTCTCTCTCTACTCCCTCCCTCTCAATCTCCCTTTCTCATTCTGGCTTTCTCTCACCGCATCCATCTTGGTGGGATTTTCCATCTCTCGATCTGGCTCTCACTTTGTTTGGTTTCTTCTCTGTCCCTATCTTTCAATGCGGCTCAAGTCTGCTCTATTTGTTGTGGTTCACTCTCCTACCTTGCGATCTACATGCATCTCTCTCTATCTCAGCTCGCATTGGCGCATTGCTCCTGGGCACTGCTCCGCGCCAAGAACAGTCCCTTCGGGCTGCCTCAGAGAAAGTGGAGTAAACCGCCTTTTCACTACTGCCGAACCGCTCACACACCTGCGCCGCGTGCAGTTCCAAGTGGAACACCTTGCCGGCGAGAAGAATACGTGGGCTGACGCGCTCAGCCGCGGCCGTTTGCGTTTCATACAGCACCAGCACCGCTCCGCAGAGCGCTTCAGCCTCGCATACAGTTTCACTTCGCAGTGAGGAGAGGAGAGCACCTTCCCGCCGCGCCTCCTATTGCGCCAGACTTCGCTGGTGAGGGGTCGGAGCCTGTGAGGAAGAGGTTGCAGAAGTCGGACTAAAGTGGGGGCAGTTACTCGGCATCGCATGTCGCATGTCTGAGACTTTTCTTTCACGTGCGTCGCATTGCTTCGGACCGACTTCAACAACCTTTGCGAGCACAAAAAGAAGACCCCTTCCTTTTGTCCTGTAGTGCTTTAACTCACAGTAGGATTTCGCAGAGAACGCTAGTCGCAGTTTTGTGTTCTTAGTCGACGGTGTTTTCTGCCAAACTTGAGTGTGCGTGCAACGCTCTCCAATTCAAGGCTGTCGACACGGATCGCATCCGCAAGAAGTTTTCACCCACCCACCCAAGCCGGGTGCAGTTTCCCGGCATCGCATGTCTGAAACTTTTCTTTCACGTGCGTCGGATTGCTTCGCACCGACTTCAACAACCTTTGAGAGTACAAAAAGAAGACCCTTTCCTTTTCTTTCGCAAAGAACGTTTCCAGTGCGCCCAGGCAGCTGCGCAGGCGACTGAGGCTGGCAAGCGTGCAGGAAGCGCGTAGGATCGAGGCTTTGTCCCGCTTCATTCAGAAGCCCGACATGTACAAGCCCGACACCAGGGAGCAGGAGATCGACCAGTGGACAGTGAA